ATTTTCATTATGTGTTATATGACATTTTATATGTTATTTTCAAAATTATTTTAATATTGAAATATGAACTGAAAATTGGAAACATTTCCCTCTAATTGGAAATATGGAAATTAAAGCCTAGAGAAATAACTTACCAGAAGCCATATATATTGTAATAAGTGTTTTTGTAAGACTAAGACTCTATAGGTTAAAGAAAATCTAAATGAAAGCTTCTTTCAAAGTTTACCCTGGAGTTACATAGAGGATGTTGTCATGATAAAATCCTCAGCTGGTGCCATTTCAAAATAACTTTCAACTTACCACTCATCTTTTTAATGTAAGCTTTGAACATCCACAAAGGTAATTTAACTTATGGGCCAAAATCAAAGTCTAGTAGAGTCAAGCCATATCTCTGGTGAAAGAAATGACTACAATTAGGTAACAATAGTTTTAGTTAGAAACTATTCAATCTGTCTCTGTGTGTGTCTCAGTGTGTATATGTGTGTATGTGTTTATATGTGTGTGTGTGCTATTCATTTTAACTCTACAGGTATTACAGAAGAATTTTGAGGAAGGAGATAGTGAAATAAGAATGAAATAAATAGTTTAAATTAATGAAACAAAGCATCTAGTATCTCTGCTAAAATTCATGGTTTTCAGTAAGTTTTGAAAGTGGTCTGTCCAAACTAATGACAATCAGCATAGAACTACCCAGTATGGACCTCCAGAGTCACCAAGAAGCAACCTAAAAAGATGATGCTCAGTCACATAAATGCTGCAAGAGATTTCAAAAAATGCTTTGAACATAAATGAGTGACAGAAAGTAGCCAGAGAGGCAACATTGAATTATCGTGTTTACAAGGGTGAAAAGAGATAGACTGAATTATGATAGGAAATAAGAAACCCACCTAAATCATTAAAGCTATTCAGAATATTTTATTGCTCAAATTGCAAATAAAAAGTATTTTGACATTTGTAAATTACTTTGGATAGTCCTTAACATTTTTCTAGGGGAATCCTGTTTTTGCTTGGGTTTTTAGATTTCATATTACCCTCAGATTAATTTCTAGTTACTGACATTTTCTGAATATTTTTTGTGCTGGTACTAGGATGTAAACTCAGGGTCTGAGTGTTGTAACTTAGCATTTTTGCTCAAGGCTTGTGCTCTCCCTCTTGAGTCAGTCCTTCATTTGTGGCTTTTTTTCTGATAACATGAAGATAAAAGTCTCATGGCTCTTTCTGCTTTGTGTGGCTTTGAATTATGATCCACAGAACTCAGCCTCCTGAGTTGCTAGAATTATACCAGGGAGCCACTGGCACCCAGCTAAGAATAATTTGTTATAAAAATCCCAAAAGTAGATATATTGCTTCAATATAGTCATTCTATAAATCTTAACACTGTAGAAAATCATTCAATTATTTTCATAAAGTGAGAATATTTGCTACATGTTTGCCATTGTCTTTAATTTGCTTTCATTCATATATTTCCTGAAATTACACTTTTATGGATATTTATTTTGATTAAAAATAACAGATACACACTGCTCATTGAGATTCTTGATCTTAAACAAAAAAGCCCTAATCTATGGCCTTTTCTTTTGGTTTAGTACCAGCATTTGACTCAGGGTCTTATGCTTGCTCAACTTGCTTGCTCCATTAGAACTCTATCCCTTGAGCCAAGAGTCCAGCATGAATTTTTCTTGATTATTTCAGAGATGTAATCTCTTGGATACTTCTACACTGGTTTGAACACTGAACTTCCATATTATAGCCACATTTGTAGCTAGAACTTCAGAGATGTGCCTCCAGTGTCTGATTACATTCTTTTTCTTCTAATTCAGTCTTACTTTGGATACAGAAATGGAGTCTTCAGTTTCTCAACAGATGTGATTAATTTCTGTCATGAATTTTCTTAATTTGGATAACAGATGTAGTAAAGGAGCAAGAAACATAATCTAGAGCTAAATAGAAAGCTTTACTTTATACGACTTACTCTTGTCAGTCTTTTATTTAAATATAGTTTTCTACTTCCTGAGAGAAATATCTTGTCATTTGTTACATACAAATGTGTTTGTGCATGGTGGACCCTTACCAGCCAGGTGACATTCATTGCAAGTAATAACCTCCAGGTGAGCCTCGAAAAAAACGTAGTTGACATTACACTCACTTTTATTTTGTATGTGTATGTAATGTTTGTGGAACTTGAACTGGGGTCCTGGGAGCTATCCTTGAGCTCTTCTGCTGAAGGCTAGCACTCTACCACTTGAGGCACAGCATCACTTCTGGCTTTCTGGTAGTTAATTGGAGATAAAAGTCTCATGATCTTTCCTGACCTGGCTGGCTTTGAACCTAGATCCTCAGATCTCAGACTCCTGAGTTGCTAGTCTTACAGGTTTGAGCCATCAGTGCCCAGCTACACTCACTTTAATAAAACATTTAAACATTACTGTGTCAGGAGCTGATGGCTTACACCTGTAATCCAGCTGCCCAGAACACTGGAATCTGAATACTGAGATTTGAAGACAGCCTGGGTAGAAAGTTTGTGTTATTCTTATCCCAGTTAACCGACAGAAAGCCAGGGCTCATGTAGTAAAGTAAAAAAGCCAAGCAAGAGCAGGAAGCCTTGAGTTGAAGCCCCAGCACTAGAACAAAAAGCAAACAAAACAAAAATTTTAAGATTCACCTCTCTAAATAAGATAAAATAGTGCAGTCCATCAAATTACAGTATAATATTATAATGCATTTATAATCACATTTTGAATCTATCATAAAAATAACTTGATTTTAGTAGACATATCTGAGTTTCTTTATTTAACATATACACATGAGAGTCCAATGGCAGTTTTAGTTAATATTAAATTTCTCTTATTAATTATCTTTGCCTAGGGAATTACTTGGTTTCTTTTTGCTAACCCTATATACTATTAGTTTTAAGTGAATCAAATAACATATATGATATATATAGAGAGAGTATATGATATATACTCTAAAATGAAAAATGCATTTGGTATTTCCTAATTTGGTCTATATTATATATTCTAATTTAAAGTGAGAAACCTAGAACATCTTCAAAATAAACCTCTCTTCTAAGAATAAGAAACTTGAACCATATTATAATAATTTACTCTATTAAATTATTGTGAACCTATGACATATGAAATGGTTAGTAATAATTCTAGATTCTGACAGGTATTATATACATACTTTAAGAAGCGCCTAAATAAATGGAGAGAATAATTTAAAATTTTTAATAAATTATGTATCTTTATAAATTGTGTTGTTTTCTTTTTAACAAAATTATTACTGCTAGGGAATGAATAATCAGATTTGGAGACCTACAGCTTTAATCGATCTTTCTACAACATGGACATTTATCACTTATATTTAATATGGATATGTATATACTTTTATGTAAATGTATATGTATATATATTTATAAATATATGTATGCATATATGTATATGCATACATATATACTTACACACATATTATATACTTATTATTGTATATATTTTTGTTATTATAATTTGCATTTACTAAAAAAAAACTAACGAACAGCTACAAGGTAAAATATATTTTACTAGCAATAAAAAGTGCATAAAGATAAAAAGCTGGCTTGTGATCTAGAATGGTAGAACTAACTACTGAAGATGATATGAAACACGCATGTATGTATGCATGCATGCATATCTTTATGCATATATATGACATGACATTTTATAGCATATCAGTGTTCAAGTACCATTAATATCCAATGTCCAAATTAATAAAAAAAAATCACTTTAAATGTTACACTGCTTATCATTTAAAATGTATTATCAAGGATCCTCCATTATTAGGCCTATTAAAGTAAGCCTTAGGGTAAATATGTAGGTGGAATCTGCTGGTAGGGACTTCACTTATGGAGCATGAGCCTTGGAAATAGTTGCTATCAGTTATTTGAACTCAGACACATACTTAACCAGATTCTTCAGAAGAGGTAGAAATACGTTTTTTAAAAGATACGGTGACATTCTCACCAGAAATGGAAAGTTTTCTGGCCTCTAGTAGTCATGGCAGGGATACTTGGCTCTCAGAGAAATTCTGCTAGGTTGTACCCTTTCCCGAAGAAGTTGCTTCACAATGCAAAAAATGTCACAACTTTTTACCTACATTTAAAGAATCTTACCTGTTTTTATTGGTGCCCTTTACCAATTACATCAATTATAAAAGAGACAATCAGTATTTCTGATAATACACTGTCTTAAGCTTGAATACTAAAATTTTGTGCTGATTTTAATATGATGACCAGAAACATCCCTCCATTTTTTTAAGCTCTTGAATGGACTCAGATACTTTTAAAAACAAATAAAGGGCCCACAATGTCTACAAGATTTTCTGTCAGAAGCACAACATGATTTAAATAAAACACAGTTTAGTAATTATCCTGTTCCTGCTTCACAATTAAGCACTTATCTGATGCTATAAGTTGGGCAGAAACTCTGTAGGGAAAATCTGTTTGAATTATCTCTCTATTACTAGGTAATTGTATAATCCACTGTTACAGCTTCAGATATGCAAACACAACATTTCAGAGATCAGGCCTCCACAACTACAGAAGAGAGATTCCTTAAAATAGGTAGATAAGTTGGACAATGAGCATGCGATTGCCTGAAGCAGAGACATGAATTCTGGTAAGAAAAGATTCGTAGAACATGAAATAACAATTATTTCCAGCTACCACATGGCTTCATTGCACACAGACAGTTCTTAGCCATTAGTTTGTTGATTCTTCGGTATTAACCAGCCGTGTTCCCCCATTATGATCATTACCGTAATACACATAAACACAATTCTTTTCCAATAGCTAAGTAATAACCAGATGTATAGAAAACTAATTTAAACTGGATGGCAATGAGATAGAAGAAATATTTTATCTTAATCCACTTTCAAAATTCACCTCATTTCACTCAGAGTCTAATGCAATCATTTCGTTTTCTATTCCCAGATCGAAATACATTTTAGAAAAGGAATTCACTTACACTGAACGATGAGCTGCACCAAGGCTTCTCTTGGTTTCACGTTAAATCCATTGTACTGACTGGTCTGGCATCTGTACATTCCTGACATTTCCCTAGACACGTTCACAATCCTCAGTGTTCCATCGTAACTCTCCATTTGCATGGACCCATCAGGCATGGCCACCTCTTTATCCGCTCTAGACCAAAGGATGATTGGTTTAGGTTTTCCAGTTACTTGACATTGCAGTTCTATTGTGTCTCCTTCTCTGGTGACCAAAGGTGATTTTTCCTGTGGAACAGTCAGATTGGGTGGAACTTGAAATGGGAAAAAGAAAATTTTTCAAGGTTAGTATAAACTGGTAAGGCATATGCAGACACAGAATATCATAAGGAAACAATTTCTGTGGATTGAAGAATGTGATAAAAAAAATATAGAGACCGTGGGAATTATAAAGCATACTGTCACTTTAAATAATTCTAAATTATCTTCATTAAGCATTCTCTCATAAAGAGTACAAACATTTTCACCATTATCGAGGTATTACATTGGCAAGTAAATGGTCCATATAAGAAAACTCTATTCAATACTTGGCAATTATTGACCATTACTGGTTCTTCAATATTTATCTGTCAAAGAAAAATGATCTGGCTAGCTGAGGATAAGATTTAACTGGAAAGACTTAAAACTGTGAACAGAAGTAGTAAGGAAGGGAAAATGAAAAGCCTGGGATAAAACATAATGTCTTCGGTATAAAATCTGTTGTCAAATTGAGAAGATGTCCAGTCTGTTTTCTCTCTAGTGGGGGTTTAATGGAAAAACTGATTGTTATATATTCATAACTATCACAAAGCATGTGGCAGTCCATCCCATTCTCCTGTTTAGGATTTTAAGGTTTTTGTCACTTGAATTTCATATGACTTCACTTGAAATGCTTTTGAAGTCCTAGAACCATTTCCCACAATGTTGCCACTACTACTACAAAATTAATTTTAAAGAAACTTTCAAAATACATTTAAATTAATATAAGGCTGATAACTATCCTCCGGTTGATCTTGTCTCTGGTTGTGCTCAGCAGAGTTAGGTGAAATTTAGATTGATTTATCTGGAACTTAATATATTGGAATATATATATATATATATATATATTCATGTTAAGATTTAATAAATTCAGATAAGGAAAGTGCTACATAATGATTTTTTTACAAACATTACCACCTATTCCACTAGAAAATTTTCATTGTTTTTATAGTTTTATCTGAATTCATAATGGTTTCTAGAATGTAGTATCTACTAAAAAGTACAGGGTAAACAGAATAAGAATAATCATAAACATGGGTAATTCTGATTCTTACATGCCCCTTTTAAAGATATCTTAACATATAGATTAAAATAAATAAGTTTTGTTCTCTCATACATCATTTCTCTGCTTTGGTTCCAGTACTAACACAAACAGCTTAAAATTGTTTTTTCAACTATTGTTGAAATAAAGTTTTATTTATTACATATAGTAAAAAAATAAATTCAAGACTAAAATATGAACACAGTTTGCTTTTAAAATATTTTCACATTTCATTTATCATTTAATTCCTTCATGTAATTCAAGGTAATAAGAACTACTTACATAATACAAATAGTATCTCAGTATTGAGAAGAGGGAGAGTATTAACCACCATTGTAAAACGTATAGCTACCTTGTAGAAACTAGTAATTTAACCAGATATTTTGTTTGTTTCCATAAACCATGAAGTGATGATGCAATCCTAAACAGTTCCATGTAATAAATAATTTCAATAGGACTGCAATATTTATTCACCTTCCTGAGAAATAAGATAGAATAACAGAAATAACCTAAGCAGTTAACATTTGTTGCAACCTTACTATTTTTGGCCCCAGGAAATTTGTGTTTTCATTAAATTTTCTTGACAAGCTTAAGATTCAATATTTAATACTAAAATTTAACAAATGAGAACACTGAGAGCAAGAGAAGAAAAATATTTGGATTTGAACAGGGTACAGACCATACTTGTCAACATAGAGACATGAGTGTGGAAGTAGCTTCACAACACTTGAGAGTAAGCACTGCACTGCCTTCTTCCTGTTCCTGCTCTGGCTCCATTGGTATCTTTGTCTCATGGACAGACAGTATGAAAGGGTCAAGACAGAAATGTGAAGGACTCTATGGTCTGTATTTTCCAAATTCCCTGTCTTGTCTCATAACATGAACAACTGCATCTACCTATGCAGGAATATTTTCCATACATTTCAAAATTTCATACAAGATAAACTAAATAAATACAGATTTATTTTCAATTTCCGTGCACTAAATGAAATAATGAATTTAAAGAGTGATTCAATGGAGTACTATTTCTTTTAGTGTTTAATCCATATCAATTCTGGAAACATGTCACCTGACCCTGGCCATATATTCATTTCTTCATTTTTGAAACTAAGAAGTTACATGTTGTTTTTGTATTCCAATGTTTTGATGATTAACTTATAGGTACAAATAGTAAAGACTTAATGAGACAAGAAGTATCAAACAAAAGTCTTTATTTACTAACTTACTAGGATGGATATTTAGGAACTTATATCATGAATCATTCTAATTAAAATAAAGCCTGAGTATATCTTTCAAAAATACTAACATTATATTGTCTAAAATTTCCCTTGCATATTTGTTATTTATAAATTTAGACACTTTTTTCCACCTAACTAATTTAAAAAATACGAATTTAAATCACTTCTTTCTTTTTCCTCTTTTCTTTTTTTTTTGGTTGGTTGTGGGGCTTGAACTCAGGGCTTGGACGCTGTCCCCAGGTTTTCAGCTCAAGGTGAACACTCTACCACTTGAGCCTCAACGCCACTTCTGATTTTCTGGTGGTTAACTGGAGATAAGAGTCTCATAGACATTCCTGCCCAGGCTGGCTTTGAACCATGATCCTCAGATCTCAGCCTCCTGAGTAGCTAGGATTACAGGTGTGAACCACTGGCACCGGGCCTAAACCTCAATTTTAATCTTGGCTACTTATATTGTTTTGAGAGACTAGCCCAGATATTCCTAATTAGCAAAACTTCACCAAATTGTGGTTCAATGTATATTTGTTTCTATAATACTTCAAAATGTGAAGTCAGGTTAAGGATTTCTCAACTGTCTAAGCAAAGAAAATTTATATCTTCTCAAAATTCCATACTAAATTTTATTTCAACCTATGACTCTACACTTAGCTCTGTTAATTATTTCTATAAAGAGATCTCTTATTTGTTCTCATGGAGATTTCTGTTTTGTACATTGATAGTATATTTTTTAACTTTTCCCCAAGGGATTTCCAACCTATGTACACAATGCTTTATATTCTCCCAATTTTTCAAACCTTAGAACATACGAACTACTTATTTCTCAGTTCAGTTATCAACATGTCCTGTTTACAAAATAAATCACAGTTTTCTTGGTTTGATGGATGCTTCTATTCCTCTGCTTCCAAAAACCAGCCAAATCCTGATGTTTCTTTATCAACTATGTCTCTCACCCCTGCCTATTTCTTTTATGGACAAAGTTAGGTTTCTTAGTACAGATCATACTTTTCCTTTCTTGTGACAGTATACTAAGATCATTCTTTTCCTTTCTTGTGACAGTATCTTCAGAGCAGTTCCTGTCAACAGTCTCAGTCCAAGACACCTGCTTCCTTTTTATGTATTTGTCATCACAGGCATAATTCTGTTCCTGTCAAGAAAACTAAAAACCTCAGTGAAAGTTCGCATCTTAACCTGATCCAATTTGAAAAATGAAAACAGCCTAATGGTTTTGTAAATAAATCATAGAACCATCACACAATACAATATAACAAACTTTAAAATATAATGTAATAGAGCTATATTTATTGATAAAGATATTGATTTCCAACGAGAAGAAGATATTAGTGAGTAGTCTGAATAGCGGTGACTACTATTATTGAATGAAACATATTGCTATCTGCATACATTCTAGTATCCAGTTCTTTATATTAGAAAAGACTAATATCTTTGTTTCTATATTTGCATATATTAGTAAATACTAATGTATTTGCTTAACTACTATGCATCTATCCCATCACACAATATTCTAAATGTCAAAAATAATAAAATACATTTTTAAGAAGATTTATCAATGAATGTCAACAGAGAGTTTTTTGAATGGAAGAATATTATCATTATATCTTTATATTGTCAACATTCAGCATATTGTCACGTATAATAGAAACTCAGTAGAGAATTTTACATTTAGTTTATAAATAAAGACAAGATGTAATTGCCACTTATTGACAATTAGAAAAAAAAGACACATATGGGACAAACCTAGTGAAAAAGAAAATTCAGAAGAAATTACACCAAAAAATTTGAAGTGTTTTTCTTTACATGTAGTATATTTGTAAATTTTTTTTCTTAAAATGTTTTCTTTTGATTTTTATAATATACCCAGCACATATTAACTTATCAAAGGCTCTAAGAAATCTAGAGAAATTTGAGTATTAACTCAACAACCTCATAAAATGAAACTGCGTTTTGCAGGGATAGTAATGTATTACTCTGGAAATGGTAACATAGTTACCACTAAATTGCAGTCAGTGGCCACCCTCAGAACTCTTGAATAATCAGTGTTTGTTTTTTTTTTCTTCTTCACACATTCAGAGTGTGAGGCCCTTGCCTAACCTATCTGTTGAAAGTCAGTTAAAATAGTATTACTCTGTAGAAACTTTGTCCTCTGCTAAGCTGAGCTGGGTTTATACTCCCCTGAACTACATGTACTGTACATGCACTTAACCTGTACTTGAGTTCTGGCTTTTATTTCATTCCTGAGAAGACAACCCTTAAATGCATAAAGACTCTTACTCTATTGTTAAGGCCTGATGTCTGCCTCGGTGCCTAGCATACTGCCTGGGAAGCTATAAAATAACCAAGAAATGAAGGAGGGGTGGAAAATAGGAAAGGAAAAAATGTAAAGCAAAGAATATGGAAGTAAACGTGACACATTCAAATCTTGGACATTTTTAACGAAAAGGATAATAGCAACTAAGTACAGTGATTGTATAATTAGTGGTTTAGTAAGTAGTGAAATCATTTGAAAAATACAGAAATTTTGGGTAAATTTCTGAGGTTTATCTTGAGATTTGTGGGTTATCAATGTGGTAAGAGATTTCAGAATTCTTTTCTAGTCTTCTTTAAGGACACAAGTGGTTTTTTTCTTCCTTGCTATTGTTTCTAACATATTTATAAGGTGATTTTTTTGTTGCTTTGTTTGTCCCTTCCCCATGGTATAACCCTTGTTTTCACTGTATTT